GTGTCGCTTCCAAGGATTTTAAAAAAAAAGAAGCAAATTTAGGAGTCTGCACGCTGAAACACCTCACCAGCGTTCCACTGGCTTCCATGGCTCTGACACTGACTAGAGCAAGAGTTGTGATTCAAGACAGCACAGACATTCGGGTGCCTAAGTGGCATCTCTACTATTGATTTGTCATGGTCAAAACTAACACTGTTCCTTATGAGGGGAATTAAAACTTTCAACCTTGTCACGGGAGTCACCGAGTGCAACACCCTGACTGGGTGACGCAGAAACTCACATCAACAGTCACACTATTCCCTTCCACACTAAAGGGATTTTAAGGGCAGGCTGCCCCCTGAGCCTGGAGGGCTGTGAGGACCCTGGTAACAGCGTGGTACCAACCGGGGCAGCAACTGGGCAGAAACATCCCCAGTGCCTGAGCTTCAGCTGGCTCCAGCCACCCCTGCGGGTGCAAAGCTTCATCCCTGCACAGCATCCACTGCAAATGATGGGAGTGCCTTTCAAGGGTTTTATTTAGATTTTAACCTTCAATCCCAGCTGTCATGACCTAAAAGCATGGCAGAAATCAGCTGGGAAATGCCTGAGCATTGGCAAGATGAGAAACCAGTTGGGACAAAGCTGAGTGGACAGTTTAGACCAGGAGAAACTGTGACTTCAGGGACGAAGAAAACAATATTCTTTTAATCACTTGTGGTTTGTTGCATTCAGAAACCACATCATCAGAACAGTAACGTTGAGAAAGGAGGGTACTGTGGTGGGATACAGCCCTAGTCCATATGACTAGCAGGTATGAGCCCTCTGGACATACCTTACAGCTTTAAATTAAAGGAATAGTTAAGGGATTACATCCGAGAGTTAAACCATGCATGGAAGGTTTTTTTTTTAATGCTAATTAATGTGGTGATTTCCTTAAGCTTTAATTTTTGAAAGCTAGCTGGGAGTAAAATTCTTCTCTGAGGCTGAGCAAAGATCAGCTCTCTGAGGCCGAGCACGCTGGACCACAGAGAAGGAAATGATCATAAGCATTTGACAAATTGTTTCCTGCTCAAAGCGCCTTTAAAAAATATCCATATAAAAAATAGCCCAGCGTGCAGAGTGTTTGATCTTTAGCTAAATGAAGAATCTTAATAACTGAGACTTGAGCCAGATTTTCACGCAGAAAATTTAAATGTGTCATTGGCAAAACAATCCTGCATGAAAAGCTCCAGATTTATTTTAATCACTCGTGTTTTCATTGTATGCAGAAAGTGTGTCAGCAGAACGTTCAAGTGAAGAGAATCAATGTCACCAAGTGGCAGAGCTGGGCTAAGGAAACAGGGAGCTGGGACACTGCCCTCAGTCCCTGTGGCACCACTCTCCCTCCCCTCCAAGCAGCACAAGTGCAGTGACTCCCCTGGCACCACGTCCCCTGGGGCTGCAAAAACCTGCTCTTTAAACCTCTGGATGCCAGCGCTTCCCAAAGCGAGCCAGCTCCTCCTGCTCGAGGAGGGATGGCTGCCTGCTGCCCAGGCAGGGCACAGAGCTCCAGGACCTTGTGCTGACAACAGCTTCCCACCAGCAAGTTATTGCCTCTGGCTGGGGCTGTATGGTTTGGGTTTTTTTTCATTGCAAAGAGGGAAAAACAAACAGAAAACCCATGAGTGAGGGAGAGGGAGGACGGTGCTGGCCTGGCTATGGGAGCTGCTGAAGCTGCCACCCCGGCAAGGCAGCACAAAGCTGCTGGATGCTGTGAGTCCCAGGGCCCGTGTGCAGGAGCGAGGAGCCTTGTTTAGTGCCAGCCTTCTGGTGCACCCCCTCTGCCCCCCTCCCTCAGCCCTGCTTGGTGCCCGCCCCTCACCTGAATGACTCTTCGACTCAGCCCCGTCATGTCCGCCAGCTTCTGAAGCGTTTGTGCGTCGGGGTTGTTGTCCTGAGCAAACTGTGCCTGCATGACCTGGGCAGGGGGAGAGCAGAGAAGGGGTCAGGATGAGGCCAAGGAGCCACAGCCCCTCCAGCACCCCCGGCCCAGCCTGGCTACCTGCAGCTGCTCGGCGGTGAAGGAGGTGCGGGCTCTCTTGGCCGGCTTCGGCTGGCTGTCCTGCTCCGAGGGCACAGCCCCCTCCAGCGGGATCCCGTTGCCTACAGTAGAGAAGCCCCAGGCCACAAACCTGCCACGGGTCAGAAACTCCCCTGCCCGCCTCCCTCTCTGCCACCCCCACGTGCAACATCCGCTGGACTCGGGGAAAACACACCTCACATCACAGCATGGGGCAGCAGCAGCAAGAGCAGAGCCAGCCCTGGGAGCTGCCCAGGGCTGCTGAGCCCCTCCGTGCACCAGGAAGGAGACACCACCAGCCCCGAGGAGTTTGCCACTGAATTAAGAAAAATGCAGCAAGCTGGTGGAAGCCACAGGGAACGACGGACGGGGAGACAGCAGCAGGAAGGTGGATGGCAAGGTGGTGTGTGAGGAAAGCAGTGATGTCCCACTGGCCCTGACTCGTGGTCACCAGTTCACACCGTATAGCAAGCCCCGAGTAGGGCGCCCTGCCTCTGCTGGGCTCACCACCATCCATGACTCCTGCCCCATGTTGCTCCCTGTGACCTCATCTTCCCCTACAGACACTGCCTCCGTCAGTGGTTTCATTTGCTCTCAATATTTCAGTGGGCTTTTTGCTCTTTTCCTTGGCCCCAAGTCCTCCAAATCCATCACGACTTCCTCCTGGATCCCAGAGCAGCACCATCTCCACGGCCTTGGGGTACCAGTGGCTCCCTGCAGTGTGGTGCCCAGGCTCTGAGCAGCAACACCACTGAGGGAGGATGTGCCAGGAGGGGACTGTGCACCCGCTCCCCAGGGACAGCATCGGGGCGAGCCCGGCCGCGCTCGCGCAGCTCCGGAGCCTGTGAGGAGGGCAGCTGGAGATGGGGTTCCTCGTCCCTCCCGGGGCACTGCTGCAGCCCGGGCTGTGCCCAGCCACTCTCGCTGGCGA